CAGTAAAATATTAGGTTGGCGAGGGAGAGACTTTTGCTTCAGGGGGGGGCCTCACTCTTTGTTTGACGTGCCTTTCAGGGGGCTCGAAGCCGACTGTTCCACCTGATTAGGCCTGTAGCACGCTACCTTGACATCGGGGCCAGAGAGCTCTAAGTCCAGCAAGAAAAAAGGTTCATGGTCCGAGACAGTTCTCAGAACCAGATGTATCCTCACGCGGACCGCTCGTGGAAACACGGCAGTCCTAAGTTGCATCGCACTTAGCTCTTTTGCGATCTGCCTACATAATCTACTACCCAAGTACTTCACGAGGGGTTAGTACTACGAGAACCGCACAGCCCGTTCTCGTGGCCATGTTGTACATGTATGCCTAGGTCTTGGAGAGCAGGTGAAATCGAGCAACTCTTTTCCGCCCATGGCAGCGGAGAACTCGGAAGTCTGGCATATGAGATAAGGCGGACTGCTGCGCTAGATTGGTGTTCATACCACAATCACCGTCAGAATTCTGGACCATGGCAGCCAGCAAAGGAGCACCGATCCTGGAAAGTGGTTCTGGAGACTGTAATTGATGACCACAGCTAGCCCAGAAAGGACTTGCTTGGGTGTTCATCATGCAAAATCAGACTAGCAGGACTACTGTAGGTCCACCCTCTCTCAAGTTGGGCAGCAAGATCACCAACGACCACGCGAGATAACCCCGCCTCGTGTGGTCGCAAGCGATCGGGGAGCCGGCCGCTGCCCATCTCCGACATGAGCCTTCGATCACCTGACCGCCATCAAGCATTGAGCACCGAGATGGCGCCCGGAGGTGACTGAACCCTTCACTATTGACGACTGGGGTTGCGCAAACTGCATTTCCGTCGAACCGCGCTGCTGGGAATTTGACGTGGGAAGCACAGCCTCGAAGGGGGACGTTGGTTCGATGACTCGTATGAGGATCGTTTCCGCGTCACCTACCTAGTGCTGCGATAAGAACCCTTCAACCTAAAGCTGGTCGCAGGCGTTTTCTGGCGGCTTCTCTCCGTACGGTGAATCCTTTCTTACGTCAATGATGGGACCGAAAGCGAAGACAACAGTTCGATTATGGTAGAAGCATGCACCGTTCAGCTTGCTCTACGCCTCACTAGCAGCCATGTGGAAATGGTTCATCTCGTCATGAGCTGCAATTACAGCCAGCTCAGCCGCCGTTGGCTTGGGGCCGCTGCGCCATTCACCATCAAAGTTTACGCGGCGTGCGGTGGTTTTCGTGACGGCCCGGCACCTCTGCGGCCAGGGTTTGTGTCGGGCGGCGCGGGGATCACTTCTTGGTCTGAGGTTTCAGGCTGGGTGTGAACAATTTCCAATCCTTGCGCCGACAACCGTGCTCATGTTGTCGTACTATGTATGTCTGCAAAGGAACAAGCGCGCTCCACTGGGCCATTGAGGTTCAGACTGGAAGCCAGATTCGACGGCCTTGAGCTCGCGTGATGGTGACTTGTTTGCCCAACCGGGATTTGAGATTTCTCAGCCCTTGCTGTCCGCCAGCTTCATAGAGTTCCGGGGGTATCACCAGGTGCTATCCGGATCGTAAACCATGCAGTTTGACCTAGCCCCCTTGTCCGTCGTCTGATGCCCACGCGATTGGCCTCTGTACATTAACATAGTTAACATTGACGATGATGGTGTCTTGCGTTGCACACTTCAGGTTTGGTTATAAAGCCATCAAAATAGTGTCGTGCAACACAACGAATCATGGCTTGTGGAGTGAGAATCTTCATCGGACGGGAGCGGATCTGCCTGCGACCACTGCCGAGGGCGGTACTGTGCGTGCGATGACCTTTGACAAAGAGATGTCGAGTACATCAGTCTGGTATGGAAGCCATGAACCATTGTTGCGCTGAGTAAAGCTCACTCACCCACTCACCGGTGAGCGACGCCTGCGTGCTGCATGACGGGGCACGTTAGCCATGTGATTAAAAGCCGTGTCTTGCAGAACGAGTTGCAGTAAAATGCAGGTAGAGGCACAGGATGCAACCCTGTATGGTCCAATCACAGCCAGAATCATGGTTGGCTTCGCGACACCTGGCCGCGATGCCGTGAACCTCGTCGCCCGAGGTGAGTTTGATTTGGGCGGTGCGAGCGAAAGCAAACGTGTGAGAGACGAGGGCTTGGCCCGTCGATTAAGCAATGGGCACTCCACAGCCTGAGAACACTGGACGGATCTCATCTCCTCTTCGTCAACGCTGCTAGGAAGCACAGGGCGGTCGGCTCCTGAATATGGTTCGCCAGGCGTGTCATCGAGTCGGCCAGGGGCCCTTGTTGCTTCTGCTTGGTCACAACAACTGGTGGGTACAGGCCAAAAGGCAGCGTACATAGTATTTCTTTTTGTTCGTCGCAGTGTGCTGACAGACTTTTCGACGGCTACGTTGCGTTGTGGCACGTTTGTGCCGTGTTGTGTTGACATGGGCCCTCAGGGTCTGTGGGGTTCACGTTTGTTCTACATGTACATGTAATCCATGGCCGAGCCAGAGGAACATGTGTTGCGACACTGGACTTGGATGTGCCCTGTTGGCAGGGAGTGAACGTGTCAGGATGGGGACCTGAGCCTAGGCGGCTGTCAGCGAGGCGGAGGAGGGGTAGACTGACAGGTGGAGGAACGTTAATAAGGTTGAAAGACCATAGCATGATGGCGTATGGATGGATAGCCAGCCAAGGTCGCCTCTTCCTGCGGGAAGCAGGGAGGATGGAGGATGGAGTGAGACACAACAGTCCTGGGCGAACCAGTGCCGCAGCGCGATCGTCAGGTTCAAGGTGCTTGCTAGCTACAGAGCTGCTCAGCTCGCTCGCTGCCGTGAGACAACAAAACATTCAGCCTGACGGGAAGGGAAGCCTGGCTGGACACACCATCTGAAGAAGCCGTGGTCTGTCTGGTTTAGTCCCCAATGGGCCGCGGAAGCCACACGATAATCCGATGATGCAGAAACAGTCTAGATCGCATGAACGAGCAAATTCGACGACCAGGCTCAGGTCCCCCCTAGGGCCTAGGGATGGGGGGGGGAAGGCTTTGACACGAAGCATCCGGGCCGATGAGATCCGATGTTGATTAGGTGTGTGCAGTTGACAAGACGTGCTGACCCAATGAAAGTTTTGTTACCCTCCCAAGACTTTCCTAAGCCAAGAAGTACAGGCAGAAGATTAAGGCGATGTGTGTTTTTGGTTTAGCAAGAGGGTCGAAATGGCCAGAGACGCGGGGCAGCATCGGGGAACAAGACAAGAAAGAAGCACCACCGCATTGACATTACATCAGGCAAGTGGTGTGGGTTGGTGGCCTGGGTGGATCATAGCCCCTGCTCTAACCAGGCGGACGGAATAAGTACTTGCTCTAACAAGCTAGGTACTTTGATCCCTGGGTACTTGGTTTGGTACCATGGTACGGCACAAGCAGGCAGGTGGGCAGGTAGTCGAGGCGACCGGGCAGTTCCCGCGGTCGGGCTTGGCTGCCCTCATCGGTTGATTGCTCCTGCCCTACCAATACCTACCTTTCGCTGTCTCTGACGCACTGCACTGCACTGCACCTGCCCTCTGGTGTTGCGAGATCCGCGCCTCCCGTCATAAGGTACCTTACCTCAATGAGTTCTTCCACTGTCGTAACTATCTTCCTTCTTCCCTGCCTGCCCTACCTGCTTTAAGGACATACCCAGGTATGAGGCACGTAGGTCGATAGGCATGTATCAGATACTGCTTCCATCCTTTTCCATGCCGTCCCTATTGGCGTTGAGGGTCTCCAGCTCCCAGGCCGCCCCTTAGCAAGGCACCTAATGCCTTAGTCCCTTCGCCAAAAGGTTCCGAGGCGACCTCTAGATTCTGGGCTTTCAGCGGTCCCCTTTCAGTGTACCAATGAGCATATCCAAAGGCCGAGTTTCGAGTCGAGCCATGTGCGATTGCCAGGTGGAAGGAGTGATTACTGGCCGGACCGTCCCCCTGTGGCGCGACCACTTGTCGGACCCATGCGGGCTGTGATCTGGCGCCTGAGAGTCATGTCCAAAGAAGTACCTACGGTACCTAACGAGGTAACCCCCCCTGTCGCACTTGCCCCCTACCCCTGCCCAGTCCATCCCCCAATCCCAAAGGTCATTTTACCCTGCCCCCCCCCATTTGCCCAGTCATATTGGCTGCCTGCCCTCACGAACCAGTACCAGCTACCTACCCACCTGGCTCTGCTGCCGTTTTGCTGGGCTGCCATTCTGCCCGCTCCCGTAAACTGGGACCTGTAAATCCCCATCTGGGTCGTACCAATCTCAACTACCTTCCCATCGTCGTCATCCTCCTCACTCCTTCTGCTGGGCTTTGCCTGTCTGTCAACTGTCGTCTGTCACCACCAGCCTCACGTTTTCTGACACTGTTCGGCCCCAATACATAGGTCTGACGAGTACGTGCTGTGCATTGTGCTGTCGCGACACGAGGCAAAGACACGCCAAACCAAACCCATTCGATTCATTCGTCGACCGTCTCCTTTCTTTCGACGACTCGCATCCAGTCACAGTCTCCAAACGCCTCCCCAACTCGGCGGTCGACCCCCCTTTCGCCCCTCCTCGCCTCAGCTCAACTCGAATTGACTCGAGTCGCATTGCCTCACTACGACTGGGAACAATTTTTTCCACCCCCTTAATACGGCGTTGCCATCGACGAACCACTTGTCTTGGACCAGATCGTACTCCTTTATGGCGTCGATACGGACGTGACTCTCCAGCAGCCACTGCACCCATTCCCTCAAAAACCAACGGGACGCATATGCAAGACCAGAGCAGCCTGTCACCTTGCTTGGCGACCTGAGATCCTCGCGACGCAACTTGAACAACGAAACCCAAAACCAACAACGACAGATCGATGACAACCCCGGCTGTTTCTCTCTTAGTCTCCACCGCGCCATGCTAACCGTATACACATCTGCGCAGTGACCTCGACGAGCAGTACCCGCTCGGCATAAGTCGCCCACACGACGTTCTCAAGCTTGAACGCCTGTCATGGACGTCATGAGGTCCCCCTCGCAACCTGCGCCCACCGGCCTGGGTCTTTCCATGCCTTCTCCGCAACAAGACGTCTCGCAACCCGCCACCACCCTCAGCCCTGCACGAAAAGCGGCACGCGAAGCAAAACGGAGGAGAGCTTCACCACCCAAAGTCGGCACCTTGGGAGGAAAGGAGAGTGCAACACCAACGACTCTAAGTGGCACCAAGTGGACTGGAAAGACGCGCTTCGCAAGCTCAGCAACGTCGAAACCACTCCTTCCCGTTACGGAGCGCAAATCCCAGGAGGAGAAAAACACTTCACGAAGGGCACGTGGCAGGGGCAGCGACGACAAGGTCGACATCGCTCCAGATGGTGGTTCGGCTGGCCGTGATGGACGGCAATTCACGGTGGCGAACGTTGGGAACAATGGTCGCATCTACCTTAGGTAAGAGCGCAACATGGCTGTGTGGTTGCAGCACAGCCGTGACACAGCCATGACTCCATGCGGGAAGCAGGTCCAAACCTGGAAAACAAAGGTTAGGAAGCGATAGACTTTCAACTGATGGTTCTCATTCTAGGCCCTCTGTCCGACCAGCACATCAACGCTACCCCCCAGCCCAATTTT